AAAAATAATAGCAGCCCGTTTAGCCGCCTCATACGGTAAGAAAGACCAATTCCAGTTCTATTAGGAGCTGATATGAACTGGTGAAAATTAAGACGGAGGACCAAGGAGGAGGCCATTAACTCTGCACCTCCAATTTTTCTTTAAGCTCTTTTTCCCTCTCTTAATTTAAACCACCTTTACCACCTCGTAAATACATTTTTATTTCCATTTCAAAACGTACAAAATATTAACTCAGGCCGTTTTTATAGTCATAACAAAGGGAAAAATATTTACTGAATATGCTGTAAATCTCAGTTAAAGGAATTACGAGCTGATGTGTGTGCGAGAGAAAGAAACATTAGGGCTAGATTCCTTCCAAAGAATTAGAGGCCTGTTCAGTAGTTTGCCCAGTACGACGTTCACATTTTTTCTTGATTTGTGCAATTTCAAATAACATGAGCAATCCAAAACTGGAGTATGACCTGGATGGTGAAAAACAATAGCTTGTGCAGTAAAGTCTCCCGCGGCTTCAGGTAAGTTGCTCTTGGAATCTCCAGCAAAATCACCTCTCCAATTATTTAATTGAGACATTTTTAACCTTGAAGCCTACATAATCTACAGTAAGGGCCTCGTAATTTCCACAGACATAATTTCATTGGCTTACCACTTTTCTACCAGTGAATCTTAATTCACTGGTAGAAAAGTGCACCAGGTTTATAACACCGGACCCCATTCTGCCATCAGAGACTGTCCCTACACCAACAATTTGGTATACTTCCTAGAGTAGATACAGATCTAGGTCTGCTCGGAGGGATAATGGCATCGAAAGTTTCAAAAGGCATTTGTCATCAGCTTACGCTCCGTGGACCAACCCTTGAACCTCTTGTCAGAAGCTTCCAATATCTACATAAATACAGTGGTAAAAAATAAAGTCGTTTTTCGACAACTACTGAACAGTCAGCAATAAGTGAGTTCACAAACGAATAAAAAGCAACTGATGAATGTTTGAAATGAACTTAGGAAATAAGTATTGTTGTACCCCACCTCGCTTTTATTATCCGATAGGGGCGGAAATAAGTTAGTAACTTTTGATCGAATTGAGCCGTTATCTGATTCGTTTAGGGTTCCCGCCCGGCGGGGTGCGGGCCTTTTTTTAAAAGGTGAAAAAGAAACATTACGACGTCGTAAATCTGTCGGGCTTTTTCAAAAAAGGACTCCCGTATTCTTTTCAAACGTCCTCCGTTTTACGGTCTTGCGGACGTTTCCTTTCTTTTTAAATGCCCTGTGCTCGATGGGTTTCGAAGAGATTTAAACCGCTGGACCTTCGGCCATTCACGGATTACAGAATAACCTTACATCGCATTACATGAAAACAGTACCGTAGGAGATAAACGGTGAGAATTTTTAAAACGCCCTATTTAATAATCTCCGATTTATTACCATTATAATAGAATTTGATGTCAAACGATATATTTGTTATTATAAGTCTTAAACAATATAAGACTGCTATTTAACACAAGGATACCATATGATAAAGCCCAACAAAGGCCTAACTTCCATTAACCGATGGATAAAAGAACAATGGAAGGAAGTGGTGTTTTTGATAATGGAACGCATTTTGGCGGACAACTTCATCCTGTATTTTATAAGAATATTTTCAACAACAAGGATATTCCTTTGGGTTAGGATAAGCTAATCCCCAACCGCAGGCAGTGCGAGCTGAGACAGAAAAGGACGAGGAAGGACCTCTTTTCAAGTTGTTGAAGACACCTCTTTTTTTTGTAAATGGCAAGTAGCTACGTATGGCACTTTATTTTATTTTATGTCTTAATCTTAATACATTTATTTTAAGAAGGTTATTGTTTTAATTTATTTGTGTCAGTTACCGATTTTTGTTTTCTGTAATTAATTTGTTTGAGTTTGTGGCACGGATATTTTCTCACACTCGTGAGTGTCACGAGTTGCTTCGTATGAAGGTGATCCGCAGATTTAGACATAAGAACAACCCCGGTAACAGAGAAAAAAAGGAAAAGAAATATGATGGTACCACTGTTCGGAGAAAGAGAAGAAGAACTGTGATGCCCAGAAGAAAAACAATTTATGTAGTTATTTTTAAATAGTTCTTTTAATTCTAAAAAGAATAATGTTAATATCTAGTACTGTAGCGTAGTGTGAATGAGTTGTGATATGAATGTAATTTATTAGCGCGAATAGAGAGGTTCATTCCCTATAACTCCTAGGAATATCGAGTATTCCAGGGTAGTGAGAATGAATTGTGGTGTTGGATTGTAATTTATTAGCGCGAATAGAGAGGTTCATCCCCAATTACTCCTAGGAATATCGAGTACTCTAGGGTAGTGAGAATGAATTGTGGTGTGGGATTGTAATTTATTAGCGAGAATAAAAGGGGTTGTACCTAATTACCCGATAATATACAGTACTCTAGTTTAATGTGAATCTCACGATCGTGTTTTATCTTGTTTATGTTTTTATCTGTATTACTGTTTGTTATTTATAGTGCTGAAATGCAGAGAGAAACTAGCGAGAGAGTCGGTTACCGTCCTAATTGGTCTGAAAATAACTTCGATAGAGAAACACAAAAAGGAATTAGTGGGATCAAAACGCGAGAAAGACAAGTTAAGGAAAAGAGGACCTTCTAATATGAAACAATTGAGAAAAATTAGGAGAGCATCTATGCTTGTTGGCTTGGAGAACTCATTATGGAATGTAGCTTGTTTGTAGATTTTTTAATCATACCTTTATTTATTAAAACTGTTCAAATAAGACCATCTATTAATTTTACACTGGCTAATTTATTAACAAATACACTTTAGTCTATGCATTAGTTTCTCAGTTTGTCTGTTTCGACATTACTCGTTTATATTGATAATGAAAGTATATTGATGATTGTGCCGATGTTTGCCACAAGATCAGTGTAGTATTGGATGTTGAAGATCCAATTTCAGTGGACCTTGTGAGGTATCCTTCACCAGGGCTTGAGCGTCCGCTCTTTACTGTTGCACACTATCGGCGTTTTATTATTTAGTTGAGTTCACCTCTAACTTTTAACCAACTCAATTGGTTTTGTCCTCTTCAGTTATTTTACGATGTGTGACTATGTGTGTGTGTTGTGGCTTTGAAGACGTAGGTGCGTATAAGAATACCGAATGATCTCAGTGTCGATGTGCGAACATGCCAAGGAGCATCTACCATATTCCGTGGAACTTCATTTTGGAACCGTTGTACTAAGATTGTATTGCTTCTTTTGGCACACCCCTAGAGTTGCGGATTTTAATATGGGATGGTAAATCTTTTTTTATGTTGTACTGATAGCCGGGAATTGTTTCCCAGCTCTAGTGTTATGTTTATGTTTTCCATCAGTCACTTGGATACAGCAAGCACGTCACGGGGCTACGATGCTACCAGTTGTAATAATGTACGGTGGTAATAAAAAAATTAAAAATTATTCCGAACATCTAATGATGGTACTGCCAAAATATCTAATGCGATATGTTCTATCTTTTGAAATTTAACATAACCTTGTAATTAAAAGACGGACTATCGATTCTAAAGGAGAAATGAGACCGAGGAGGATGAATTTATCAAAAGTAAACTTTTAAAATAGGATTGTCAGATATTGAACGAGCAAAATTGAAGTGCAGGTCCTCCAGATAGGTAAATCTCCATTGAGCTGTTGCTTTGCATTCGAAGATGATATGGTTGGCTGTTTCCTCCTCTTCATTACATAATCTGCAGATGGAATCATCGTTGTATATGCCCATGTTGTGTAGATGTTTTCTCAGATGCCAGTGACCGGTTAATAGTCCTACCACTCCTCTGAGCCCTCTCCAATTGCAGCAGCGATTTTGCCAGTCTTGGTTAGGGTTGCTTCAGCATAGGTTCACTGTGACTAGCGCCGATAGGTTTATCCACTTTTCTTTTGGTTTTGTTTAGATTCATTCTGGGATGGAGGATTCTATATTTGTTTTTGTTATCCCAAGTATAGGTTCGGGGCCTATGTATGGTCCTGCATATCCTCCTCTGGTCAGTCTGTCTGCTTTCTCGCTACCCAAAATTCCTCTGTGGCCTGGCACCCAAGATATCATCACGTTGTTGTGTTTCCCCAGGTTTTGGAGATTTTGGATGCATTCACTGATTAATTTTGATGTGATTTTTTTAGATGCTAATGCTTTAATAACTTGGCTATCAGATCTTATGAGGATTGTTTGACCAGTAAGTTAAGATTTTCCTTGTAACAAGTGTTGATGGCATGTATTTCTGCTTTGATTGTTGATGAGTTTGATTGTTCATGTTTTGGGTGCCTGATGCCTGATCCGGTTCCACCGTTTTGTTTTGGAGCCTTCTGTATACCATATCTGATGCTCTCTGGTGTTCTTTCTCTCCTTTATAGGATTTTGTAAAGAATGTTTCCTGGACTATCGCTTCTATAGGAGAAATGCGATCAAAGAGGATGAATTTATGGAAAGTAAGCTTTTAAAATAAGATTGTCAGATATTGAGCGAGCAAAATTGAAGTGCGGTCCTCCAGGTAGACTATAAAAAGAGTCCACCGTCTGATGAACCCAGGGTTATTTTTATCCCTGAAACTATCTTCTTGACTAGATTCTCAATCTTTCAGGTTGTTAGGCTGAATAAATAAATTCAAAATAGTTTTTCTTTTCTTCTTATCTCGTTGAATGGAAAGAAGGGAATTTGTTGAAATCAAGAGAGAGGCAGGACTGACGCCCCACCCTCCAATCTCGCTTATCTTTCCTATACTGGTTTTATGTAACCTTTTGATTTTATTCTTCGGGTTTTTTTTTATCTTCTCTTTCTGCTTTTTTTTTCTCTAGACTCGTCAGGTGAAAAGGTGAGCTGACAATGGTGGCGGTCAATGAATTGACTACAGAAGAAGTCAATCAGCCGTTTTTCTAAGACGGCGATGACTCGGCCGGCCGATTCACAAATAATCACAAGAGATAAATAATTGAATTTGTTTTTCGATAAGATAAGGCCTGAACGATCTGTCCTTATGATTTGTGATTTTACGTTTATTAAGAACGTGGCTATTTTCGCTCTTAGAATTTCCATATCTATATTTAAACTACCTGAAATTCATTTGGACCAGCGTTGGTATGGGCATATTTATATATTTACGTTCATTTACAGCCTAGATTTTTTTTAATAATTCATTATAATTAAAATCATAAATAAGATATGCTTTGTTTTGTTGAGGCCCACAGTTTGGTTTTTACTGCAACATATAATTTTTCCAGCATGTCAGTAACAGTTATTGCATGATGGAAAAATCTAAAAGCCATTTTCTTTTACTTGTTCTCTTGTTTCTATTGTTTTTTTGTTTTTTTTTACATTTTACAACTTTTTAACAATAAAATGTACTATTTGTTCAATCATTATACACTGAAAGACAAAAAAAACAGACATTTATTTGTTTATTTTCTATAATAACTAGGTATAAAGATTAATAATTGACTTATAACGTAACGCATTTATAGTGTTACTTAACCTTTTATACTCTTTAGATTAAAAATAAAGGAAATCAGTTCAATTCCATCTACTTTTTTTTCTTAAAGACAAGATTTTAAGTTGAGAAGATCTTGTCCAGGCAGATGTTTTGACCAAAAATAGCATTGGTTATGTAGTCCAAATCCTGGGTGTGCCACACAATCATGCACGAAGGCCTACGGCAGTTTAGGGCCAAGATCGAAGAGAAGGTAGTGGTGATGACACGATCATTTTATTGCTCTTCTCTCACTATGACACTGTCATTTAATACCTTGTGTAGTTAACTCCAAACTGTCCGTAATGTCAGGGTGAGTTATTTGATTATTCAGAAATCGTGAGATGCGGTCTGGTGTGATGTAGGTTTCAGAAAAACGTTTTCTTTATCGTGCCAACGTTTCAATCTTTAGTGAGATCATCTTCACCTGGGATTTACAAACATTGTTTAAATTTAACAAAAACATGTAGGATGTGGAAAAAAGTGAATTTATACAATGCAAAAAAAAATTTTTTTTATATTCAATCAAAGTATTTCTACTCACTTAAAGTGTTTGTTTTCTGCGTAAAAAACAAACACTTTGAGCGAGTAGAAATACTTTGATTGAATATTTTAAAAAAAAATTTTGCATGTATAAATTCACTTTCTTCCACATCCTACATGTTTTTGTTAAATTTAAACAACGTTTGTAAATCCCAGGCCCTGAAGATGATCTCAATAAATATTGAAACATTGTCACGATAAAGAAAATGTTTTTCTGAAACCTACATCACACCAGATCGCAACTCACGATTTCTGAATAATTATCGACTAACGGTCACTAATCACCACACACATAAGGGTGAGCTGTAATTCATCGGAAGGCTAGTGTGAATAGATTACTCTCTAGACTTCCTGCATCCGGTCCTCAATTGCTGCAGATTCATTGAGTAGAAAGGCAAAATTTGCAAATCATCATCTTACTTGGTCATTTGTGACCAATGGGAGAGTTCTGGTTTGATTTGTGGCAATCGTATGACTGGGACCTTGTGTGGAGAATATTTCATTTTAAGCGCTGTGTGAGTCAGTCTTTCTCAAAGACAGTTATGGTATACTGAACTGATTATCACACAGAATGGATCTTTGACTGCACTAAGATACATGGAGGATGTTCTCCTGGAAGCCCATTTTCTGTTAATGCATGATAATCCTCGACTACATGTTGCTTGAGCTGCCCCCCTTGAAGTGTGGGGGTTCCCACAATGAATTGGCCAAAACTGAAATAAATCCTTCAAAACAGTGACTGGCTGTACTACAAGGGCGCCGCAAAACTTTTCTATAAAAAAATTTTCATTTTTATATTTATAAATAATACCTAAACACTCTGCACAAAACCCTAAAAAAATGGTGGCCTTCAAGTCCCAATATGGAGTCCCCAGCAGAACAGCTGTAGATGTAGATGTAGATTTAAATATAGTTTTGGGGTATAAGATACTGCACCCTTTAAGAGCTATTGTACCCCCCCCTTGCTCTGTCTAAAGCACATCGGTGAGTCCTATTTCATCAAGAAACTTGATCAATAGGCTTGGTTTCAATGGTTGAAGCTCTTCTATGGTCACATTATACATCCCAAAACATTTCCTCCTGCGGGGCAGTGTAGCTCCGCAGTTTGTTAGTCAATGTATTGGTGTCTCTTCTGCCTCTGCAGAATCTGCATATGCCATCTTGGATTATTCCAATTTTCTTTAAGTGTCCATTTAACTTGCAGTGTCTTGTTAGAAATCCTATTAGGATTCGCAGTTTATTCCTGCTTCCTTTGACACATTCTGTAATTTCTTTTCTTCCAAAATTTGTTAAGAGATTCTTGGATTGCCTGTGTCCAATGAGTGAATTCATTTTCTTTTTGTCCTTCTGTCTGAGATACTCATTAATAGTGTGGATTCCTATGTCACAGAAGGGTTCGGGTCCTATCAGCGGAGTAGCAGCCCCTTTTCTTGCAAGGGTGTCCGCTTTCTCGTTGCCTTCTACTCCCAGGTGTCCTAGGACCCAGCAGAGGCAGGCTTTGTTCTGCGTACCTAATATGTTTACTTTGGTTTTGCAGTTCAACACCATCTTTGAACTAATGATATTTGAGCTTAGTGCTTTGATGGCTCCTTGGCCATCTGACATGATAATTATGTTCTTGTTTTTGTACCCTTTAGTCAAGTTGAGTTGCATTCTTTCAATTGCATGAATCTCAGCTTGGAAGATACTGGTGTGTGTGGAAGATGGTGGAGTTCCCATGGGTTCTGAGTATTTGGTTCCAGGTCCAAATACTCCTGCCCCTGACCTTCTTGTGTTCTAGATCCATCTGTGTACCAAAGGATGGTGCCATTTTTGAAAGAGTTGTTTCCCTCTCTTTCCCATTCTTTTTTGGTACACAGGTCTATTCGGAAGTTTTGGTTAAATTCAAACATCTTTTTCACGCCGTCTCTTGGAGCCAAGAGTATCAGATGGTGTGTATTTAATATTATTGCCCCCCTCCAAAAAATGTATTTGCCTTTATATTTTTGCTAAGTGCATAATTGCTTTTCAAAAGACAAGTTTTTCAATTTCACAAGAAAGTCGGTAGTTTTGATTATTTATTAAATAAATTGCAGACAAAATAGAGGTTTAGATATATCAATGATTTTCTGAATTGGAACTGTATTAATTACTATCATAAAGATTGCACAGAGGTAGACCATTGTTTTGACTTGGAGTGCCACAGAAAAATTCTTATATATTAAGGACACCAGAAACAGAAAAATTTGCTACAGAAGAAACGTGTTAGACTCCATTTGCCTCCTCCGTCAAGTATTGAGCAGTTTCAAACTGCTCTTGTTGAAGAACAGGCTTCTGTTTCACAAAATGAAATCTGATCACTTTAGGAGACTTAAGACCCTAGGCCAAACAAAGTAATATGCATTTGCAGAGAAAAATACATGAGACTAATCTAACATATCTGTTTATTTAATATTCAGATACATTTACCAAACCCTGGTTCATTTCAGGTTTGGGCACCTTCCTACAATACAAAATGGACCACAGATTCTTCTTAATTCAGATAGCATACAATCACATTTATTGAAGAAGTTTCCTCCTTGTCCCGAACACCCAGCACATTTCATCTGATTTCAAAATGCCCCTGTAAATATGTATTTCTACATAGATTTAATTGTTTATATGAATTCATGTGGACTGCAATACTTTTTGTATCCATTTGTTCTTCCACATTGGTTTAGAAAAGCTATTTCAGAAACAGAAATTAAATACTATGAAAATTTCTTGTATTCTTTGATCTAAAATTTGTTGTCAGGCCTTAGTATGTTAAATAGCTGGATATGAATCATGACTGATGATCAATTTATGTCTCAAAATTTGATCTAAGAATAGTAAAACAATTCTTTAATATTTTGATGTGATAATTGAATTGAAGTCTAATGGTTTTCCACATTTTGCTTCATTTATTTGAACTTTGTTGTTTTTTTGTTTTACAGAATAGCAAATATGTCATTTGCCTTTCCAATCATAGCTCGTGGCATCGCATCCACAGCGATGGCATCAGCCCCAATTAAACATGTAACCGTTGTAGGTGGAGGCCTTATGGGATCCGGTATCGCCCAGGTTTGACATCAAAGATTGATGTTTGAAGTATTTTCTGATGTCTTATTTCCTATACTTATGTTAGGTGGCTGCCCAGACTAATCATGACGTAGTGTTGGTCGATATTAATGAAAAGATACTTGAAAAATCCAAACAAGCGATTGAAAAAAATTTGTCTAGAGTCGCTAAAAAGCAGTTTAAGGTATGCTGTTTAAAATTGTACTTGATGCGCCAGCTAATTATATTAAATCTTAGGACGACACTTCAAAATCATCAGAGTTTCTGAAAAATGCAATGGGCCATTTGAAATTTTCCACTGACCTTAGCAACGAGATCAAAAATACGGATCTCGTGGTTGAAGCCATAGTCGAAAATATAAGCGCCAAACATAAACTATTCTCAGCGATTGATGAACTCGCTCCACCGCACACCATTTTTTCATCCAACACCTCCTCTCTGCCCATTGCGGAGATTGCATCGGTCACAAAAAGGAAAGACAGATTTGGAGGCATCCACTTCTTCAATCCTGTACCGGTCATGAAACTTCTTGAGGTACGTAATAAGTTTTAAATTGTGTTTTTTATTATTTGCTCATTGGCTGCCTGTCTGCCCTGTGCTGAATTGATTTTAATAATTTACAGTTACAACAGCTGCCTTCTCCCTAGTAACACCTGTAAACTCCTAGTTTCTTCTCTTATTCTCCCCCATTGTGGGTGACTCTTTAGGGAGCTGGATTTAATTAATTATTTTGTACACTTTTTCTTTGGCTCCTTAAAGAAGTCCCATGTGTCTGATATGTACTTTTGCTCGATATACTACTACTGTAGGCCATACTTTCTTGGCTCTTTCCTATACCAAAAGGTATCTTCCTTCCCTAACTGATCTCCTAACCTTTAGGTCTTCGGTACACCACTTTCATACTCATTCTCACACCTCTATCCCCCTAAACACAACTACCATTTTTAATTTGTCTTCTTAAAGTTGACACATTGTCGACCCCCAAATGTCGATACATAGTCCCTAACTGAAATCAAAGTGTTAAATCTTAAAATTATGCACATTGAATTGTTTACATTGAAAGGTTTATTTTAGGTAATCAGAACTGATGATACATCTGAGGAGACGTATCAGGCATTGATGTCATGGGGGAAGGCAGTCGGTAAAGTAACTGTCACATGCAAAGACACCCCGGGTTTTGTTGTAAACAGACTTCTTGTTCCACAACTGGCAGAAGCAATCCGAATGATGGAAAGGGGTGATGCTACTTTCCAAGACATAGACACGGCGATGAAACTTGGAGCGGGTCACCCGATGGGGCCGTTTGAATTGGCTGACTATGTCGGCCTGGACACTACCAATTCCATTATTGAAGGTATTTATGCTGCTTGTAAAGAATAATAATAATTTTGCCTTACATCAAGTACAGGTTTCAAAATAAAACAGTATCCGACTCTTCCCAGTCAGCACCCCACAAACTCCTGGTCTCTTCCCTTGTGCTTCCCCAATTCAATTATGGATGTTTGGTCTATGGCGGATGCATTACATAGTCAAGAGAATCAAGGACTGCTTTCTTTGGTTCATATGCAGCTTCTTAAAAAGATCTCATGTGTATTAAGACATACGCACTAAGCAAATCTCGGCCAATGAAAGACAAACAATATATCGGGCCGAACGTTAGTTGTCAACACATTGGTCATCCCTGGCTCATCAACTATAAACAAAGGGGCTGAGGCCAAGGGATTTGGCCATGTGGAATCGCAGTGAACAACATCAACCCCTTTGATGTTACATGCGTTCCCGATTTACTCATCGTCAACAAGACAAGAGGATCTTTAACGTCCGCACCTGGCTCATGGCCTTATCGGACGCTTTGATTCTCAAGATGAGAGCTGACGCACTTCTGCATACGACGGAAAAGTGTTACCGCCGCAGCATTGGTGTAGTGGTGTCCCGGCCCCTAAGGGTCAGTAGCCACGCTCCCCGCTTGTCCACTCCGAATGGTCGGGCCCGCATTGTGCGTCGGGTCGTACGCCGCACGCAAGGGACTAACGGGCCGAAATACATCAGCCCGTCCCCCCCCTCGCGTACTTCCTAGATAGAGAAGGCGACTCTATCTCTCTGAGTGTAGAGGCTTCTCCAGCGTAGAAACTTTCGGGAACGCCCCGACAGCGGTTTCGGATTAAAAAGTGGGATTGCTACCCACCCCCTAGATGAATACTGCCTACGGACAAAGGTCTCTTATCGAGCTCAGCCTACACCTGCTGCACGTAATCGAGGGACGCCATAGGTCTAGCCTAGGTGGTCCGATCCTTCGCTTCCCCAAGGGTACCACGCCGGTCATACGCACAACAATGCAAAGCATACTCGTCGGAAACCACCGATACCACTACCCTTTTCCAATCGCTTACTCACGCATTCGAGGGACTGTAGCATGATCATGACGTCCTCAACGCTTACATGCTGTCGTCCGGTCGCAACGTCTCCCGTGAGGACCAGGTATAATACATTGGCCATGCGCAAGCTTCACGAAAGGTCCCAGGTAGAAGACAGCCTCTCTCTAAGTTCCCGCCAGGGGCGTCACCACAAGCCACCACGAATCCGTTCCCAATGTGACAGAGGGCCAGATTCTGGAACATTTCTGTCACCCCGTGGTACAGATGGCCATACAACCCTCCCCCGTCTATGCAGACAGGATCTGGTGCACTGGCCCTCGTGTGACTCTGCTAAGGCACCCGACGTCCCTGCCGACCCTTAGGCCGACATAAGACAGCTTGTGCTTTAGAGAGGTTGCCACGCCCTCAAGGCTACACCATTATTTTGTGCCTGGATACCCCCCTTGTAACCAAGGGTTAGGAGGGGTCACAGGATAGAATGAAGGAATTCGGATTGAGAAACAGGGCCGCGGAAGAGAACATGAGGTGAGCCGTTTCGGGGTCTCGAGTCTCAATCGCACTATACCACCCGTCGTCACCGTGATGTTACAACCAGAAGTCCGAATCTCGACAATTCGCCTCCCATACATTCTAAGCAAATCACACCCAACAAAGTGGTTGGTTGTCTTTTGTTGGCCAAGATTTGCTTAGTGTGTTTGCACCTTAATATGTATCGTAGTTTGAAATGCCTGTACCCCTTCTATCCTATACTATATACTTAGTAGGTATACTTTCTTAGCTCCATCTGTTAACACTAGTTATGTTAAATGTTAATATTATCTCTTAACATTTAAGTCTTCGGTACACAATCTTTCTTGCCCTTCTAATCTTTCCCCCTCATACACATCAAAATAGAGAACTTTCCGAAAATTTTCTCCTGAGCATTTTTTGCTCCAAACGAAGAGTAGAATCGATTCCCTGAGTTTCATCAGAAGGAACTGGGACACCCTGTATTCTCAGTCAGCAGCACTGAAGGCTTTATATACCTCCACCTTCAGTCCAAAATTGGTCAGGTAATATCATTAATACATAATTATATTTTAGGATGGCATAATAAATATCCAGATGTAGAGCTCTTCAAACCTGTTAAGACACTACAGAAAATGGTAAAAGAAGGAAAGCTTGGGATAAAGTCCGGAGAGGGATTTTATAACTACAATAAATAAACTAGGTTTTTAATTTATCTATAGACATGTAAATTAAAAGATAATATATTTTTATAGACTTTTTTTGTGATTATAATGTGGAATTTGATTTATTGTAAAACTCGTATGTTACATATATAATATATTTCTTGTGCAGTAAATTTGTTATTTATGTCTTTATTTCAAAAGGTTCCCGATTGACAGTGAACAGACAAGACACCAAAACAAGTATAATAATTTTAATTTAGAAAGGGTCAAAACTATTTTACTCTAAAATAAGCATGTTTGAACTTAATAATAATAGGAAAATAATGTTTAGTCAATATATGCTTACAAATAAATTATCAGCACTTAAAAACTAAATAACATCCATAAGAAAAAATATATATATCACAAGTGCTAATATATAACATCTATTAATATACCATTGATACAATTACATAATATATACAAAATTTGGACAAACAACATTACAGATGTCTGGTTGCTGTTATTCATGTATTTACTTAAAAGTGTTCCTTAGCTACAGTTAACATAGAAAAATGTAAAATAGAATTTAGTCCGTTCTCAAATAAAAATTGACTTTTTAACTAAGTGTGCATAGAAAAATAACAAAATAATACTTAATATAATACAAAATATACATACATAAAAATACAATTGGCACATAAAATACAAAATATGTTTAATGTAAAAGGCATCTATACTAGAACTATATTTATAGGATGTTGCTATTAATTCAACAGCAGATAAACATTTGGTATTTATATGTTCATAGTAGCCTTTTCCTGCAATTTGGAGCTTCACAAAAACAGTAGATCTTTTTCCCAGGAACGCTGCCAACGTCGTAGCCATAATGCCAAGTAAGCTCAGTACCGGCAGGTATGTGCTTGAGCGCAAAAAAAGCCACCCAAGGGAATCTAAGATCGTGAGTGTCGACAAAAACATTCTGAACGAAAGTGTTAGGATCGCACGAGTGGTTCAAGAAACGTCCAATGTTGCCTGCGTTTTTGCTGTCCATTATATAAACCGATTCGTTCGGACCGTAGTATGACCTAACCGAAGGAAACTTTTCTGCATTATTCTGGTTGCAGTCTACGCTAAATCTAGACTGGTCGCAGTCACCTTCCCTTCTCACCCCGAGTTGTTTTGGGTCGCGATCACGTCGTTTGAACTCCTCTTCCAGTTCTGGAGGAAACTCTTCAAAATTATTCTTATGGTTTTCTAGTACATCGATATAATCTAATTCGGCAAAATATTCATCACCGTAAGCTTTTCCTGTTTTATTGGCCAGTTGTTCATTAAGTATGTTTCCAATATAGAGACAGATAAATGTTCCTGCTGCTACATCATTTACACATCTTGTTCCCCAACCTTTTTTTTTGGTCAGAAACAATTGTAACCGGAGTCGTAGTGGGTGCTGCACTACTCTGTTCAAGCATGTGTTTTTGCATTTGCAAGTACTGTTACATTCATAAATTCCGGTCAGTAACATCTCTGGTAATTTTTTATATTTGTAGCCGATTTTATCCGGATCTATAGTAAAGTCGAATTCCCTCGCCTGCTTTATAGTCTGTTGCCAACAAGCACATATGGATTTATCACTACAATTGTCAGTGCAGTCGCATCCAACTAAAAATTCAGGATTGACATTGAGTATGGCCCCTTCAAGACTTCTACGTTCTGTTATATATTCCATCAGATCTGGTATAGTATAATCATAGATGTTAATACAAGGGATTGGAACAATTTCACCACCTCGTGACACATCTTCAATAAGAATACATTCAGGGGGAACGACCAATTCATTAAATATTGATATTTTTGGGTCAAAGTCGAATAAGTCTACACTTAACAGTAATTCTGTATCAGATATGTATGACAATATCTCTTCATAATTGTATAACCTCTTCCCACAAGGGGACGTATAAGTGACTCTCACTCCTTCGACTTTCCTCTTGAATGCAAATACAGAAGGTATGGCTAAAGGATTCATCGTATTTTCTTCCTCCTTTTTGCTCGAAAGCCAGTTTACGCAATTTTGAGAGCATGTGTGTGGTGAGTAAATTTTTGGATAGAGAACACCCTGAGGATATTTTTTCACAACCCTTCCAGAATCAAATGTCATAATAAATCGCTGTGTGCTTTGTTCTCGTACAAGATTTTGTCTCCGTTTACAATTTCTCTTTCTTGCAAAAGTGTTAGAATTAGACTTTTCCATCTTGTTAACAGAAGAGTTGCTGGTGCTAGCCGAATCATATACTTCTTCTTCTAATATTTCATGCTGTACGCAAGATCTATTATTGGGTTTCGATGTTATACCACGGTGTCTGATGGTCCAATCACACCGTTCTTGAGTTTTCTTCTCAAGAATGCGAAAAAACCTTGTTGATCCCCTGTACAACCACTCTGAGCAACCGTAGTCAACAAAAAGGACATTAACAAGTGACGCGTCAACATCAATCACTCTTGCATTGCACCAGGCTCCTTTAAAACTCGTCTTAACCACCTCCTGATGTTTTACCTCGAGCATGCACCTTTCAGGGAATGAGGAAAGGTACATTTTGATGAATTTCTGACCGGATTTATTAAAATATTCATGTGGCTGTTTATTGCATTCGAGCACTTTATGAACGTCGTGCGGCATAACGTACAAGCTTGATCCACAATTGTAAAAAACCAAGTATCTAGATTTATTCATTTGTGACGGAAGTTCAGCCACCATACCAGATTGATAGACGTTTGTAATACTTTTCGTATGAATGGCAACAATACGAGAACCGACAAACAGACTCAGGTCAAACCCATCACAATAAGCAAGTCGGGTCCTATCAACTATAGTTCGATTTTGATGTTTGTTTTCAGCTTGTACTATATACCTTTCCTCGAATGAATTTCCGACTGCTGTATTTACTACCTGGACGATGGTACCTGGTACCCACTCGGGATCGGAATGGAGGTTATCTTCTTCAAATAAAAATCTATCACCAATTTTAGGCGTTTTATGCAAACTGGAAGTTAAGGGCGTTCGTGCATGGGATGATGAACTGCATGGAACGTCGACTATTTCAACGGGGGTCAGTTGGACTGTAGCAGGACGGTATGCTTCGTAAAGCGACTGCATCGCCGCTGCAAGGCCGACATCGATATCACGCACGTCCTTCTGAAGTGCTTTGATGTCGTTCAAAATTGCAGAAGATCTTCTGATCCACCCTTCGGCCGTTTTAGTTCGACCGTTCGAATCAAGTCGGTCGAAAACAGTTTTACAGATGTCATCGATTGCAAAAGAGAGCTGTTCGCCTCTGGGACTCAAGGAGCCGGCGACCCCTTCGTCGTCTGAGTCCTCGATGACCACGACCTCCGGAAGGTGCTTCAGACTCTTCGCCGGTTCGGAAATTGCTTCGTTCTCATTGCTGTCGCAGCAATCGCAAAGTACGTGGACGACAGGCACGGCGAGACCTTTGTCACATTCTCGGCTTCCGCTGCATCCGGACCGCTTCTCATCCGAGAAACACTTCTCGAAAATAACTTCGACATCCGAGTCGGAATCCTCGTCGTCGATCCTGACCACGTCTTCGACGTACGACATCTCGCGAAAAGACGACCGTTAAAAACACGTTAAAAAAATTCAAAATCAAACAAGGTAACTAATTGAAATCGAAACAAAGGAACCAGTTATCGATAAATCAAGTTCAAATCCCATGTTTATTTCCATTCGGTATATCGATTTTTTTTACCCCGCTAACATTTTATTTATTTATTTACCAATGGGCTGATCAAGTCATCAAGCTACCTAGTACCTACGACAGCACATCAATTGGTTTGCACTTTGCAGCATGGCCTCCAACATTTTCTGATCCAAATGAACACACTTAAGCGGGAAACACCCAACGGAATATTCAGATTTTTTCCTTTACTTACAACATAAACCCTACCTTTCTACCAAATTTCACGGTTCTACCTAGGTGGAGTAAATAAGAAAGGCCAGTTCTGGCATCGCCTCCACCACGTTCCACCTCCGCCTCTACGACATCCCACCATTAAAAACACACGGTTTTTGCCGCCACCCGCAAAACAGAGCCCACCCTGAAGAACCACGATTTCCCTTTGAATCGTTAAGCAAAGACCACACCAGAAGTGACAAGCTAGGTGACTAGTGGTGACAAGGCGAGTCGCTTGGTAAGTCGCCCAAGAAAACGGACAATATAGAACCTACGAGAACGGCCACACTAGCACATGGCTACATAGCGATTCACCAGGTGAGTCACTTAGTAAACGAGCCGGTCTTTTTTGTTTTTTTTACTTGGTGGGTAGTGATTTCTGATCATTTCATGATGAACCAGGTTATTTCCGTAGTTTTTAAAAGACCTGCTCTGTGGAATCCAAATGATGATCTCCGCAAAAATCCTAATTACGTTATTGACCATACAGCACTTTGAATTCACCTTCCACCATTCTTCGCCGATTGATTTCATGCACCCAACTCCTTGATTTGTACCCGAGTAAATCATATTTTAATTTAATTCGGCATTCTTGCACTTCCTTACACAAAGCCAAAGCACTACTAATGTCATCCTGGTGTGGCCACTTGTAACCTGCCACCAAGTAACCAGGCGATTTACTTTGTTACTAAGCACCTAGCTTGTCAGCTCCGGTGCGGCCTTTGCCTTAAGATGTCTCTAGACATGCGGTATTCGCCGAATGCCAATTGCCGCCGAAAGTTTGCCAAGTCTAGAGATAATCGTCTTGGCATTCGCCAAATAGTGCACACACATACAGCGTTTGCATAACCTCGTTGTTGTTGCGGAAACAGTGAATACGGCCAAGTGCCGTGCGAGTCCTCAACTTACTACCAATCGTGATGTACAACAGTCAAACTGTTATTGCAGCAGCTGCGGTTACTGTTTTGTGCAGTGGCTACAAACTAATTGAAGAAAAAAAGCGTAAGAAAAGGAGATGGTGGATGGTATCACTAAGCCATCGACAACTGCCCCGTTTTTGACGCTCTCCTTGATTTTTTTAAGGCAGATGCTAAAGGATGCCATTAGTCATCACTTCGTTCCGATATTTATGATTCGTAAGGGAAACTTTCCAAATTATTGGTTCTGTTAAGTAAACATCGAGGAACTCCAAAACTGTTGCGTTGGGTCAGTCCATTCCTAACCAAAAACAATGCTATGTTGTTATTGTATAAATTAATAATCTATACTAGTTAGGAATAGTTTATTAATGACAAGTAAATAGCATTAAATAGAAGTATAGACTTACTGCTGATTTTGATAAGTTGACAGTTGGTTAAAGGTATGTATAGTTACGGTTGATACCGAATGGATGGATGCTTTGAGTGTAGTTACTTCAGAAATATTCGTGCACTTTGAAGCGGACAAGAAGACCGACAATAAGCTATATGCCATCCGTGCAGGATTTTGATAACCTCTCAAAAATATTTAAAAATACTTATGAGGTTAAAATTGTGCTATGTGAGTTGATGCATGTAGTTTGGTTGTATTCGATTATTCTTGTAGTTTTGTCTGTTTCACGCCATCTTCGACGATGGGTATGATAGTCGGCCTGTGTCTTTTTTCCTTCATTTGTTCTATTTGCAATCTAAGAATATTTCTTTATGACGATTGAGTTGTCATAAACCCAACTGAGATTAACAGCATATGCCCTAATACCGGAAATAGTTGTAAGGCACAGATCGATAGCGTTAAGGCGTAACCAAGCTACCCCTATCAAGAACAGATTAATTGATGAAGAGTGATAGGTTAATGAGAGCAAATCACGATAATAAATCCTGATCAAACTGCTGTCAAAAGATTATCATTTGACAATCTCATCATTATGCAGTGTAAAATACCGGAAGTATTCCCGGTCAAAGTGATGAAGTAACGATACTAAAAAGGCCTCTGAATTTGTTCTAATGAAGTTTTCATTACGAACTTAGCACCGGACTTTTTAGTCGGTGTGCATTATTCTCATCCTGATTACAGTGAGACGTCAAGCTCGAGTTGCGAGTTGGGTTAACAAAACGAGTTGCCCTCCTTGACCGACATGGCATCAAATTAAATAGATCCAGTCGTACGAGGTAAAAAGTTAGAATGTGTTATACAACAACAAAACATAACTAAAGAAAACGTTTTATATTTCAAATTCTAAAAAAAGCTAAACCGAACTCTGGCTGATTGTTAAAAAAAGAAAATAAAATAAAAACAAAAGCCAAATACATATTACACATTGGTTCTTCTGACGTTCTCTGATGTATAATTAATGCCGACGATTGTGCTTTTATTTCCTCGAGTTGTGTCACTTTGGGAGGACACTCTTTTATCGATCGGTCGAAATGTCAACCCGGTCGACCCTCCGACTTTGCGAATTGTTTAGTGTGGATACCCAGTCAAGGGTCGAGGGACTTCCCGTGTTTATTATTTAAAAAAAGGCGTGTTTCAGGAGGTATAAACCATGGTCATACGTCCGACTCCGACATGATTGCTGGCGTTGAAACTGGAAAATGGTACGCCAACCTCGTATATAGTTAGCGTATGAATTTATCTTAGAAAGTATTTTTAGTGAATGGGAGTTTTGATGGTGTTGTTCTAGGGTGTACAGTCATGAATGAAGACGGGACAATGTGTGCCGGTGGTAGATGTCAGCGACCGAGAGAACCGTTGGCTGAGTTCTGGTACGGTAGTCAGCCGAGTGCAGCAGTTGGTAGCCAAGTCGGCTGTGTTGAGAAGGCGAGTTCGAGGCTAATGCTGCGAGTACAATTGCTGTCGTTGTCAATGTTCCATTAGTGATTGTTGAGAACTCGTCGAGTAGACGAGTCTCAAGACATCCAATGAGAACTCGTCGGGGAGACTAGTCTGAAGTCAATGGGGCAGTGCCTGTGCTTATATTCGAAATGGTTCTACTCTGCTTGGCTGCAGAGTGGAGAGCGAAACCATTCTATAGGTGGTGGCACCTAGTGGCTACCGTAATAACTGCAGGTGACCACCACAAAGGCCTTGACAAAACATCTTGTAGTTTGCACTTCATCCGGCGGGCTAAGGAAAGGGTTCCGACTAGATCCACTACCAGGCCTCCTGTTGGCACTTCCATATCTCAGAATCGTGATAAAACCCGGGAGACCACGCTCGGAGAAACGTCAACTGCCTCTGCGATATCCACTTGCCGGTGGTTCCCCCGGTTCGATACTTAAAACGCTCGATTTGATATCAAAAAACCTTTAAGTTGATGTTGAATTTTAAGTAGATTTCTTTCAAAAATCTAGCGCTCTCTGGCTCTCGCATTTTTGAGTGCATACCAATGAAATATGGCAGGGTGGTAAAGAATAATATAAGGACGGTTGGAATTGTTTTTCAGCCAAATCGACAGAGGGTCGCAAAGTTATAAGCGATTACAGTAAAAAATGCAGTAAAATTTTTTGCCATTTTTGCGTTTTTCCTGCAAAACAGCTCGGTTTGTTTAACCTCACTCCCCCCTAGCTCATTATTGGATTTTCACATTTTTGGTACGGATTTTAAGCTAGATTCTTCCTATAACTTTGATTTAGGGATGGTTACTTTGAAGCTCAGTTTGGCTCAAATCCAAGCAGTGTTTGAAATGTTATCATAATTTGAAAAATCCCATTTTTAATCGGATTTTTTTCTTCAAATATGGTACTTTCAAACTTTATTTCTTTCGTTTAAAAGCTCAAATTAATTTTTTTTATAATAAAATGAAACCGTAGGCATTTCTTAAGTTTTGTTCCCAAATATGCCAAGATTTCTTTTAAATTAATAGAGAAATCACAGAATATTTTTTAAAAAATGTGGTCTAGCCATCACAAAAAAATTCAAAATCAAATAACAAAGGTAACTAATTGAAGTCGAAACAAAGGAACCAGTTATCGATAAATCAAGTTCAAATCCCATGTTTATTTCCATTCAGTATATCGATTTTTTTTTACCCCGCTAACATTTTATTTATTTATTTACCAATGGGCGGATCAAGTCATCAAGCTACCTAGTACCTACTACAGCACATCAATTGGTTTGCACTTTGCAGCATGGCCTCCAACATTTTCTGATCCAAATGAACACACTTAACCGGGAAATACCCAACGGAATATTCAGATTTTTCCCTTTACTTACAACATAAACCCTACCTTTCTACCAAATTTCACGGTTCTACCTAGGTGGAGTAAATAAGAAAGGCCGGTTCTGGCATCGCTTCCACCACGTTCCACCTCCGCCTCCATCACATCCCACACCGCCTCCACGACATCCCACCATTAAAAACACACGGTTTTTGCCGCCACCCGCAAAACAGAGCCCAGACTAAAGAACGGCTATTACGGCTTCTGTTCAGGAGCCACTTCTTACACCATTTTCTCTTCGATTTTTTGCTTTTAATATGTAAATAAACAGAAGAGTAGCACAAGAGATCGTCATCCATTTTGAGAAGGTAATTCACTGGTTGACGTTCGGAGCGACTGGCTGTGGAGCGGTCGTGAATGCCCCCTCAAATTTCAGGCACTCCAAATGGAGCTGTACGGCTTGGCGCAGTTCCATTTGGAGTGATCGTGAATGGCCACCTTACAAATGTGTTTTACCAGGAATAAAAGATAGTAAAAAGCAAAGGCGGATCCAGGTCATTAGGAGGGAGGTAAAAAATTTCGATTTTTTTTCACAGACCTAAACACATGCAAATTGAAAAAAACTCTACAATCGTTTTTCTTCCGAACGCAATACTTTCTCCTCCTTCAATTGGAAAAACTGTAAAAAAAAATCGCTTAATTTAAAGGATTGAATAGTAATATTATTTACTTATTATACTTTACCTCGATGGGGATTTGAATTTGAATCAAAAAGGCTCCAGTCGTAAATTGGCGCGAAACCTTCAGAAGGACTGGACGAGAGTTATTCAGGAAAAGAGGCTTTTTAAGAAATCTCATTCTTTTTTTAATATTGTAAGGTTTTTTTTAAATAAGAGCAAGACGTGAATGAGCGTGGAGTGGATAAATTCCGTTTACAGTTGTTTCACTTTCGGATCCGTGACATGTACAGATATCGGTCGCCATTGAGAATCGGCTCTGAACGTTAGTGTAACAGATCTGAGTCAATAGTCGACTTGATGGGAGTCGTCCGGCAGTAATAATGTGACTTTCCTCGTCGTCGGATTGATTTCGTGATCGGCTTAACCAGGATTGACTCGAGTCTCTCTCTCGTCTCGAGGAAAGCGTTCGTGAGGGCCGCCGGGAGCAGGGAGGACCCTCGCCCTCGACTCGGGCCACCTTTTCATTCGATTTCGCTCCCTTTGTCAGCGGCGGTTCTGCTTTGTTCCTCCGTCGAAAGAGGATGCGTTTATTAAACGAATAGGGCCGCTGTCGGATCCAGGCCGGCGGACGTCGCGCCTTTCGCCCTTTTCTACTCGCTGGCGCTACTCCGATCCGTCGAAAAACACGAGCCGAGATAAGACAAGGTAAAGAAAGATTTTTTTAAATAAATTTTTATTATCGTCTTTCCCCTTGAGTCATGTTTCATATCCGATTCGCCCAGGGCGATAAATCTCCGACCTTGAGCGTTGATAAGGAATATTTCCACATTCGCAATATCAATCACATTCACATCTCCCTCTGTGCAATATAACAGAAGTGAACGGCCCTGAAACAACAGCGGCCTTATTGCGAATTCTGCCAACCCAGTTTATTTAAATATCGCTTTATTGTATTACTAATAAAAAATTCAAATTCAATACATTTTATTTTCAAAAAAATAAAAAAATAAATAAATAGAAATATATAGCGCCACACCCAATACATATAAATTTGGCGATTTTTTTTATTTCCGCTTTTAGTATTGTAACTACATTGTTAATCATTTTTCATTATTCCCACACTGACTTATTATAATTTGTGAATTTTTGTAAATATTTATTTTTTTATTTCATAACTTTCCCTTTATTTTTAATAATTTATATTATTTTCACTCGTTTTCATACAGCTTTAAGGGAAATAACTTTTTTTCTTTAATTAAATGGCCGCTTGCTATATGAGGATGTGGTCTACATCTTGACAATAAATGTTATTTGGTCATGGGACTGATATGGCCTGTTAATAATTTATGAAAGCGGGTGGTTGCAGATGGCCTCGGTTGAGAATCATTGTTGAAAGATGTATTTATTTCTTTTAGATGTTGTAACATCCTAGTTATATTGTCACATTTGTACAATGTTACACGGACACACACACATTAGCACCCTCATCAATTTGTTCCTTTCCATGCAAGTAATACTTAACATTTGGTTTTTTGCTAATTTTTATACAATTTTGCTGTACTCGTACGTTCCAATTAATGATTTCTTTCTGTATGAGGATGTGGTTTGCATGTGTGTGTTAAACGTTATCGGTCATGGGATTCATAGTATGGCCTGTTAGTAATTTTTCAAAGCGGGTGGTGACAGATGGCCTCGGTTGGGAATCATTGTTAAAAGATTAATTTATTAATTATATATTTTACAATTGTTTTCATTTTATAAAATATCGGTTATATTGTCACATTTGTACAATATTACACTTACACACACACTCACACTCTCATCAATTTCATCACTTCAATTCAAGTGATACTTTAAATTTGTTGTTTTATTAATTTTTATACGATGTATAGTTTGCTCTACTCGTATGTTCCAATAAATGGTTTATTTCTTATGAGAATGTGGCATACATTTTTACAATAAATGTTATTTGGTCAAGGGATTCATGTAGGTATATTTATTTCTTTTAGATGTTATATTTGTTTTGATTTTGTTATATCCTAGTTATATTGTCACATTTGTACTTACACTTTCCACTCCCACGCACATTCACACTCTCATCAATTTGTTCCCTTCCATTCAAGTAATACTTAACATTTGGTTTTTTGCTATTTTTTATACAATTTTGCTGAACTCTTATGTTTCAATTAATGATTTCTTTCTGTATGAGGATGTGGTTTGCATGTGTGTATTAAACGTTATCGGTCATGGGATTCATAATAGTATGGCCTGTTAGTAATTTTTCAAAGCGGGTGGTGACAGATGGCCTCGGTTGAGAATCATTATTAAAAGATTAATTTATTAATTGTATATTTTACAATTGTTCTCATTTTATAAAATACCAGTTATATTGTCACATTTGTACAATATTACACTAACACGCACATTCACACTCTCATCAATTTGATCACTTCGATTCAAGTGATACTTTAAATTTGTTGTTTTATTAATTTTTATACGATGTATAGTGTGCTCTACTCGTACGTTCCAATAAATGGTTTATTTCTTATGAGAATGTTTTTTGCATCTATGTATTAAACATTATTGGCCATGGGACTCATATTGTGGCCTGATAATAATTTATGAATGCGGGTGGTGATAGATGACCTCGGTTAAGAATCATTGTTAAAGATTAATTTATTAATTGTAGATTTTATATTTGTGTTGATTTTATAACATCGCAGTTATATTGTCACATTTGTACAATATTACACGGACACTCACATTCACACTCTCAATTTGTTCCCTTTGATTCAAGTGATTTAGTTTGGTGTTAATATTTGTGGTATGTATAGTTTTATGCGTAATTGTGTTTCAATAAATGATGTGGCATTATGTATACAATATTATTTGATCGTGGGTCTACTAGTGTGGTCTGTTAATAATTCACGATAGTGGGTGGTTACAAATGGCCAAGGTTGAAAAAATAGAATTGTTAAAAGATATATTTATTTCTTTGAGATGTTGTATTTGTTTATGTCACATGTGTACAATATTACACTGGCACACATATTCACACCCTCATCAATTTGTTCCCTTCCATTCAAGTAATACTTAACATTTTGTTTTTGTTAATTTTTTATACAAACTTGCTGCCCTCATTTGGTTTTTTGTTAATTTTTATGCAATGTACAGTTTGCAGTACTTGTATGCTCCAATCATTTTCTGTACACCGTTTCTTTCTATATGAGGATGTGATTTGCATTTGTGTATTAAATGTTATTGGTCGTGGGACTCATAGTGTGTCCTGTTTGTAATTTTTGAAAGCGGGTGGTGACAGATGGCCTCGGTTGAGAATCATTGTTAAAAGACTAATTTATTAATTGTAACATATATTTTGATTTTATAACCAGTTATGTTGTCACATTTGTACAATATTATATTGACACACACATTCACACACTCATCAATTTGATCATATCGATTCAAGTGATACTTAACATTTTGTTTTTGTTAATTTTTTATACAAACTTGCTGTCCTCATTTGGTTTTTTGCTAATTTTTATACAATGTTCAGTTTTGCAGTACTTGTATGCTCCGATCAATGGTTTCTTTCTATATGAGGATGGTTTGCATTTGTATATTAAACCTTATTAGTCATGGGACTCGTAGTGTGGCCTGTTAAAAATTTATGAAGGTGGGTGGGTGGTTGCTCGCCTCAGTTGGGGATCATTGTTAAAAGATTAATTTATTACTCGTATATTTTACATTTGTTTTCATTTTATAAAATTTAGAATCATTGTTAAAATATGCATTTAATTATTTTAGATGTTATATTTGTTTATGTCACATTTGTGCAGTATTACACTGACACTTACATTCACACTCTCATCAATTTGTTCCCTTTCATTCAAGTGATTTAGTTTTGTGTTATTATTTGTAGAATGTATAGTGTAATTGTGTTTCAATGAATGATCTGGCCCTGTATATACAATATTTTGATCGTCGTTCTACTAGTGTGGTCTGTTAATAGTTCAAGATAGCGGGTGGCGAAAGATGACCAAAGTTGAAAAAATATAATCATTGTTGAAAGGTGTATACATTTCTCTTAGATGTTATATTTCTTTTCATTTTGTAACATCCTCGTTATATTGTCACATTCATACAATATTACACTGACACTCACATTCACACTCTCTAGGAATCGAGGAGAGAAATGAGCAAGCATTCACTAAGTACCCAGTAATGCACACAGTGCTTGGAACTATCGGGTTGTCCGGAAAATAATGCAGGATTTTAAGTTTTCATTAAAAAAAATCTATATAAAATATTCTGTTTACGTTTACAGGATTACTCATTTGTATGAATGTCAACACTTATTAATCCTCTTCCAAATGATATTGTTTGTTTACCTCTGTAGCATTCCGCTACTTGGAAATAATTCAGTCATCCTTATAATGTCAAAGCGAGAATTTCGTACGATTTTCTTTTACGAGTTTAAACTCGGCCGAAGCGGAGCCCAAACGGCTAGAAACATTAACCAAGTCTGGGGCGAGGGTTGTGTTAATGAGTGCACTGTGCAAAGGTGGTTTAAAAAATTTCGGGAGGGAGATTTCAGCCTTGAAGATGAAGAAGGTCGTGGAAGGCCTTCCTCTCTTAATGATGATGTTCTGCGATCAGTGGTGGAAGAAAACCCCAAAACAACTGTTCGAGAACTTGCAGAGCAACTCAAAGTCAGTAAAACGACCGTCGCTGACCACCTCAAGGCGATTGGAAAAGTGAAAAAACTCGAAAATTGGGTTCCACACTCATTAAACGATCGCCAAAAAAATCAGCGCTTTGATGTTTGTGCATCACTTCTTTGTCGAAACAAAAATGACCCATTTCTGGCCAGAATTGTTACATGTGACGAAAAGTGGATTCTCTACGATAACACTAGACGTTCTGGACAGTGGCTCGACAAAGGAGAAGCTCCAATACATTTTCCAAAGCCCCCAACTCATCAAAAAAAGGTAATGGTTACGGTATGGTGGGCTTCATTTGGTTTAATACACTACAGCTTCTTAAATCCTGGCGAAACCATCAATGCTGAATCATACTGTAACCAAATTAATACCATGCATCAGAAATTGGCAGTAATGAAGCCCTCTTTGGTCAATCGGAAAGGGCCCATTTTGTTGCATGACAACGCTCGACCACATGTGTCACGTGTAACGTCACAAAAATTATTGGAGCTTGGCTATGAAACTTTGCCTCACCCACCCTACTCTCCGGACCTCTCGCCTACTGACTACCATTTTTTTAGACACCTGGACCACTACTTACAACACATAATATTCAAAAATCAAACGGAACTGGAAAATGCATTTATTGACTTTATCAATTCTAAAAATTCTGAATTCTACTCAGACGGAATTAATAAGTTACCAACACGTTGGGAGAAATGTATTGAGAGTATGGGAAATTAGAACATTGCTTTAAAGTAACTAGTTTCTTTTTTTTTGTTTAATACCAAAATCCTGCATTATTTTCCGGACAACCCAATAATATTGCCAAACAATGGATTGATCCTCTCTTGCATTTATGTTACAGATAGAGCACTGGGCAATCCCTCGCTTAATTTGAACAGCCATGTTGACTCTCTAAGAGAGCAACTTTTGGGCGATGCATTATTCTCTGAAAACAACCTTGATCAAATATTTAACAATAAAACAATAAACTTGACG